AGAGACTAGTGAGTTAGATTTTTGATCAAAATGTGAGAAGACAGATGGTTACTGAGAATGCTTCTCTTCTCAGCACTATCTTAAGTGTAAACTTATTATGCAATTGATCAGAGAAATCTAAAGTAGAGGCAGTTGCAGTGTTTTGGGGAAGGAATAAGGTAGAAAAGGAATCACATTTAGTAGAATGCAGTTCACATTATGATGTGATGTTAAAATAGTAAACAGCAAGAGTTGCAGTAATCTGCCTGCTTGTTGCACATAGATAGTAATTAGTTTGACCAAAGCCATCATAGATGAAAATAAACATTCAGCACTGCCGCTGCATTAAAAACCTGCAAGGTATTTAACACGCAAAGTGAATCCTTCGTCGCTACTGACAGGCCTGCTGACAGAGATCCAGTGTAAATCTAAAAGGCTGCGGAAGAACACCAAGGCCTCCCCAGGACAGTCGACTGGGGATGAGACGGAGGGGCCAGAGAATGTCGACAACAAGCAGGTCACCTCCACCACCAGACTGTCAAAGGTAACCTCAACATCTGCAGATGTCCTCAGAGCTCGCTGATGCTCTCAAACAGGCACAGAAGACGTCACCGCTTAATGATGGGCTGTTTTTGATTTTCTCTTTAAATCCAGGAAAAAGTTGAACTCACCAAAGAGCAGCAGGCACTCATGAAACTCATCGTGGATGCTTATAACAAACATCAGATTCCTCAAGATTTTGCTAAAAAGCTGGTACGAAACAGAAATATTGATATTAAATAACCAGGCGAACAGTGCTGATAAAAACTGGCTGCGGGGAATGCAGCTAAGAAAATAAAACCTGTATGCACACACATCACACAAGCAGCACCAGCTTGTTGGGTGAAATAATGTTTGCATGACTACATGCCGCCGAGACTGTTTTATTCGTTTGCTTTGTGGAGTTTTTGCTGTTTGCTCGAACCATTTCTTCCCTCTGATCTGTTTTTCCCGCTGTTTTTTCCTCAAGCTACAAGAACAGTACAGCGCAGATGAAAACTTTCTTCTACTGACAGAAGTGGCAACAAGTCAAGTTCAAGTTTTGGTGGAGTTTACAAAAAGTATTCCAGGTAATTCTTTTTTCTTTTTACCAATCCTGTGGAGCACACTGCAGTGTTATCTTAAGGTCATGGACAGAGGCATGACAGATGCTGGGAGAGTACGTAAAGTAAAAACACAGTATCTTGCCTGTTGTAATGACAAGTGTTATGACTGTCATAGGGTTTCTGTCTCTGGATCACGAAGATCAGATTGCTCTGCTGAAGGGTTCAGCTGTGGAAGCCACATATCTGCGCTCAGCTCAGGTTTTCAGCAAAAAGATGCCCACTGGATACGCGCAACTTTTAGAGGAGAGGATACGGAAGAGTGGTGAGTCTACAGCAGCACCTATAAATGTGTCGGTGCAGATATTCAGCAGTTATAGCAGATGCAGGTTTTTATGTGTGCAGCTCTTGCTTCATGACCTTCAGCAGTCTTGGTCTTCTGCAGCCAAGCAGCTAAGTCTTTCAGGTCCTTGATTAATATTTGATCTGTGTCGGTTACGTATGCTGACCTGTTGATCTCTGGCTGGGTATAGATTACGCATGAGCACACACCTTCACTGGCTATTGTTTCACTCCGTTCGGCGCTACATGTGCATCCATGCTTGCAGATTAAAGGAGAGGGGCTTTTCTGGGATTAATTTATTACAGCGCATGAGTTTCTTCTGCTGTTTTAATCCAAACCTATAGATTTTTGCTCACGTCCCCTGTGTTGTCTCCTTTAAAAGAAAAAATCATTTATATTAATGTGGGGTGTCATTATGTCAACCAGGTTGGACAGTTAGACAGACAGCAGCGGTGATGGCAGGCGTGTGTGCGCGTCACTGGGTCCCTCAGTGCTGCTGTGGTGTGAATAGTGCCTATAAGAGATATTCACAGTAAAGGCCAGTCTGGGAGAATAAGTGGTCAAAGCTGTCTGAGGAGGCCATTGTTTCTTATCAAAACATCAGAAGTGCTATTGTCCACTTCTCTCCCTCTGAGCCCCGCTGGCATTTCTGAAAGCTCGATAATGTGCCCGAGCAGACAGGCACCCTCTGCTAGCTGAAGAGCTGTAATATCAGGAAATGCTGCCAACGTGCAAGAGCATACTAAACAAAAACTTTTAAATAATATAGAGAGTAGTTTGAAATATGTATATGAAATATGTTTATTCATATAGGCTGGAGCCTATCCCAGCTACCATAGGGCAAGAGGCGGGGCACACTGTGGACAGGTCACCAATCTGACACAGGGCTAGGATAAGGATAAGATCTATGATTAACTGCAAATAATTGTGTCGTAATTTCTGATGGCTTCACATACTGAATACAATTCACTCATAAAAACTCTTTCTTCGCTCTCTCCTTTGCCTCGCTTCTCTCACACCTTCATCCACCTCCTCCCCACTCTTCTCACCACAATGCAGCAGAGCACATCCACCTCAGACCCTGTATATGTGTTTTTGATTTAACTTTGAGAGACTCCAGTCTTTGATCATATTAGCTGTAAAAGCTTAAAACTGAATGTATTTTACATGAAAAACTTTACAGCATCTTTTAAATAAATAAAATGAATAGTATAATACAACGTTATAGATTATCCTGGTCAAAGTACAGGCTGTTACATAAAACAGGCCGTCTCTGTGCATCTTAAAACTATAAAACCTCGCCAGCTTTCAGCAGCATCGACAATCCTTTATTATCCATCAAGTTAGTGCACAGACTAACATTGTCTGCATAGAGCTGCAGATCAAAGACTTTTTATTATTAATTTGGGAAGGTCAGTTTACTGTGTTTAGAGCACTTCCAGTCAGTATAAACATGTTTATTGGCTCTTCCACAACATCAACAACAACAACAGAAATTGAATTACTCTAAGTAATTAAACCAAAGCTTAAGAGATGGCTTCTTACTTTGAGGACTTGTTTATTTACTATTCACTGACTTTCTATATAAAACTTTCTATTTTATTAGAAAAAAATATGTTGCTTTCTTTTTCTGCAGGTATATCACAAGACTTCATTACACCCATGTTCAACTTTTACAAAAGCATCAGCGAACTCCACATGGCACAGGAGGAACAAGCTCTCCTTACTGCCGTAACCATCCTGACACCAGGTGAGCCCCCCCAAAAACAGTGTTAACGGCATTGACGGCATTGTTTCCTAAAGTAATATTTGATTCAAATTTTGATTTCTGTGAAGATGATGATCACTATCCACTCTATTCCTCTCCAGATCGGCCTTATGTCAAAGATCAGCAGGCTGTTGAGAGACTTCAGGAGCCCATGCTGGATGTGCTGAGGAAGCTGTGCGCCCTGCAGCATCCGCAGGAGCCGCAGTACTTCGCTCGTCTCCTGGGCCGTCTGACAGAGCTGAGAACGCTCAACCACTTCCACGCGGAGATGCTCACATCCTGGAGAACGGATGACCACAAATTTACCCCACTGCTCTGTGAGATCTGGGATGTGCAGTGACGGGCCAGGACGAGAGAAGAAGGCGGTAACACAGGGGTGATAATGTGGACATTAACTTACAAGACAACATCATAGCTCAAACCTACAGTCCTTTCCCAGCCTCTGTTGTGAAGCCATGACATTGGCATTAGTCATGTAGTGATTGGTTTAGAGTGCTGCTTGTGCCTTTCTCATGGATTACTCTATTATTTTTAACCATTCACAGACAAAGAGGCTCCTGTTCAAATATTGTGATTTGGCCAACCTTTTCTTTTTTTACTGTGTATATCATGCAAAACTTTGATTAGTCAAACAAGTACAAACACTGGAAAGCCACGGTGTGCTCCTAAGAAGTGGAAGGCTTAGATTAAGTGTGATAATGGGTGAATCCTACGATCTGCCTGAATAAATATTTTCAAGAAAAAAAGGGTTTACCTGGAAATAGTTTTTATAATAGTTAGTCACAACATCTGGGATGCAGTTATTCAATAAAGAGTAAGCAAAACCAAAAAAAAAAAAACATTGTCACCTTTTCTGCTTGATCATATTTGTATAATCTTTCACTTTTACATCTTCCAGAAACATTGACTTTTTATTCCTTATTTATGCCTGTAGGTAGCCATCTGGCCAAACAAAGGCGTCTCAATTAGAGGGCCGTGACTGAGGGATTTTTTTTTTTTTTTTGCATGTTTTAACCAATTTTCTAATTGCCAATAAAGATTATTTAAGATAAATGTTTGGCTCTTTTTCTCTTTCTGCTGGTAATGGCGCTGTGAATCAGAAGCTTTAAGAGCTTAAGTAGAAATGGCAACATTTAGGGATTCATGTTTGGAAAGAGATTTATCAGATGTTGAGTCCCGTGTTATAATATGTTATAAAAATCCTTAATTAAATGGTAAATGGCCTGTATTTGTATAGGGCTTAATCCCTAAGGACCCAAAAGCACTATACACTACATTCAGTCATCCACACACTGGTGATGGCAAGCTACATTGTAGCCACAGCTGCCCTGGGGCACAATGACAGAGGCGAGGCTGCCGGACACTGGTGCCACCGGCCGGGCCCTCTGACCACCACCACAAGTGTCTTGGTGAAGGACACGACGACTGAAACTGTCGGAGCCGGGACTCGAACCAGCAACCTTCCGATTACAAGACGAACTGCCAACTCTTGAGCCAATATCGCCCCGTGTCTAATCTCTAGGTTTATCTTAGGTTTATTTTCATCCACAAACCAGCATTTGTTTGATTTAGAAGAAAAAAAAAGAACATATGTAAAACTCATTTAAGGAAATTTATTTATCATTTTCCCAAAATGCGCACAAATCATTTAATCAGATCTTTCTACAAATAAAAGTTAAATAACTTTAACATGGTGCAACTCTAAGTCTACATTTTGTAGTACATAAATTCGAATAAACTTTACATCATTTACAACGTTTTTTTTTGTCATGCAATGTTCACTTTTTTAAAATGAAAATTCTCAGATAGTTGTATCTGTGCACCTAAACCCAAACTGTATCACAGATTTTCTAAGAGAACATTGCACTTAGCTGTATCATAGCACCATCTGGTGGCAACAAATGTTACCTTTTGGAATAACACTGTTTAATAAAAACAAACAAAATGTTACAAAAAGAAAGAGAGAGAGAGGAATCTGTTAAACTATGCTGACCACAGTTTAAATATTCTACCTGACTCATTGACGTGGAGATAAACTGCAGGCTGGGAACAAAAAACAGCTACAACCTTAAGACATTTATAGGTGACCTCTGTCCCCCTGGCTGGTGGCAGGTGTTTCTGTATCTGGATAAACCAGGAAGCCTGAGAACGTGGTGTACCTGCCCTGGTTGCTGTAAACAGCAAAGCGCTCATCCTGTTGACTGTACAGCCACACGCTGTCGCCCCTGCTGAGAGACAGCAACAAACTCTGACTCTGCATTTCCCTTCTCTTTGATGTGTCATCATCAAACACCATCGCCTGCACCTCACCCTTCCCGGTCATCAGCTTCACTGAAACAGCCCTACGAGGGTGTTTCCCCACAGTGAAGGCGAAGAAGTACACCCCTGGGAAGTGGCAGGTGAAGCGGCCAGAGGTTTTGTTGAAATGGCCCCCTATGTTGACATATTCTACATCAAAGGTGATTGGTGGCTTTTCTTGTGTCCAGCTGCTGTGACCCATGAGGGTTGATGTCCGTGCTACTGAGAAGGCAGACCGCGGCTGCTCTCTCTGGCCTCTGACCTGAGGTGGACAGTTTGGGTAGGGTAGAGCAGGTGTAGACAAGTGGTTGCTGATGTAGCTGGTTGCCATGGCATCAGGATAGACCAGGTAACCTGAGAAGGTGATGTAAGGCCCAGCGTTGCTGTACAAAGCATACTGGGGGCTAGGCTGCAAGCGCAACCACACTATGTCCATTTTCTTCAAACCGATCATAAGACTTTGGCTCTGAACTTTTCTCCCTTTCTTGCGGAAGTCGTCATAAGCTATAGCCTGCACCTCCTCTCCGTTCTTCACCAGGATGACAGAAAGCATTTTTTTGGGAAATTTCCCCACAGAGAAGGAGAAATAGTAAGCCCCGGGGATGCGACAGCGGAAGTGGCCAGTGTCTGGATTGAAATCCCCTCCGATGTTGACCACGAGCCTGTTGAAGGTCACTGCCTTCTGCTTGCCTCCCACCACGCTACTGGTTTGCGTGGCAGAGAAAGCAGAGAGGAGACCTGTTGGCGCGGGAGGAGCATAAAGGGGAGAAGCTGCTCCAAAGCAGTTGATGAGGAGGAACAAACATAGCACGTAGCAGTGTGTGCTCCACTGATCTGAAAACAAGACAGAAATACCTGTGAAATTACATAATGAGATATCAGTCACTCAAAGCACAGGTACGTATATACCTGTGGTGTATATATTGTTTCTGTTGGAGGGAACCAACGAATTTCACCTTTAAGATATCATGCTAACCAAGTTATAGCTTCATATTACATATTATTATAAATTTTGGTTACATTTTAAATCCAAATCACTTTCTTTAAGTTTTCTAAGGGCTCTATGAGTGCTTCTCTAAGATACCTAGACTAAAAATCAGTGTTTAACTGAACTGCTCACAGCACATATCTATATCCATCAGGTAAAGCTTTAAAGGTCACTTAAAACCAAAAGGCTGGCAGCAAAGTGAAGTACACTTCATTTAGGCCTGGGAAGTATGGCTGCTCTCTGTTAACATAAATCTTTCTACTTGAATTAAGCCCTCAGTGTGAGCAGCAGCCCCTGTAATATGGCTGGTATTGTCTGTTCTCTCTGTGCACTGACGGAAGGACTGCATTAGGTGCTGGTTCATCTGTTCCTCTGTGTCTTGAACAATGGAAAATTTCAAATGGCTGTGGAGGTGAAGCAGAACAAAATGCTAAAAGATATGAGAGCAAAACAATTTAGGAAACGTCATTTTATAAGTGCACAGGTTGACATAAATCAGCTATTATTATTACCATATTATCATGAATATAAAAAAAATGTTTTTTACAAGCATAACTTATTAAATTTTACCGTCACACACATTTGTGAGCACAAACCTACACAGACAGAAATTTATGATCCTAAAATTTCTAATCCTTCACAAAATCTAATACTGTGTACGTACATACATAAAAAATACATTTTAAATACTACAAGGTCAGATCTGTCTGATGATAGTTAAATATGTAACTCTGAGCACGAGCTGTCTTAACCAAATCCAAAAACTCTTGCTATCTAGTTGAAATTAAGTTTTCAAAACCTAATTTTAACCATTTAAAACAATCTTGCATTTGTTGCATTCTTTAAAGTAAGTACTTACATTTATATAGCAGTAACACAGAGTGTAAATACATACAAAATACATAAACTAAGTCACAGAAATACATTTATGACAAACGGCATAATAAAAAAAAGAACTCACACTCATTCAAACACAGTGCTTGCATTAAAACGTAATCTATCCATAAGAGACATAAAAACGCACCTGTGGAGCTACAATGGGGCAGAAACCGCATGGTGAAAGTTGTTGCACTGCTAATGTCCACATTATAGGCCTGACACCCAAAGGGGAAAAGCTTTTGTCCATTCGGATATGAGAGGAGGAGGAGGAGCTCCAAACCCCCTCCAATATATTCTTCCTATTCATCCATGAGACAAAAAATATCCCAAAATTCAACAGGACTCTGCAGGTTTATTGGACCTTGGAGATTTTCAGTCTAAGAAATGCGCTGAGTTGTCTAACACTGGGAAAGACAACATCAGGCACTGTGGTAACCTCTGAACAACTTCTGCTTCAGGAACAAGCACAGCTGGGAAGCACATGTAGAAAAAAAGGTGTTGCCAAATAACAAAAAAACAGCCATGTTGATTTTAATAGCAACTATTCTACTACAGCTTCTGCAGTGCAAAAAATGTGAGTGCGAATGGTTGTCTGTCCCTGTGTGTTGGCCCTGCGACAGACTGGCCACCTGTCCAGGGTGTACCCCGCCTCTCACCCTATGACAGCTGGGATAGGCTCCAGCGCCCCCTGCGACCCTGAAAAGGATAAGCGGAAGTGAATGGATGGATGGATATACTATTATATATATTAACAGCTTTAATCTCTACTCCTCTTATGAAATGAAGTTGATGCTATACTATTGCACTGTATGTTAGGTGTACAAAGTAGAAAACATATGCATACAAGTGCAGTGATACTGGGTTAAATGCCATGATAACAGGGTTCTTGCTGATCGGAGCTGGCTTGGCCCTGGCTTATCGAAGAATTAAGAAAGCGGAACCGGCTGTTCAAACCCCCACAAGGCTGCCCGCTGGGATTGAAATGATGGGACGAGGCGTGAGTTTCTCAAAATGGGCTCATTGAGTGCAGCACGGATAAGATCTTGGAGAATGCATGGCTGCCGTGAATACTCAGAACAAGACCTCTGAGTGAAAAACTGGATTACATCTGGAGGGCCTATCTTGAATAACACCTTTGAGCGCAAATTGGATCACATCTTGGGAAGTGCACTGCGGTCGTGAGTTCTCAGAACCTGCTCTTTGAGCAAAAAGAACGACAACATCACGGAACGTAAATTTGGATAACATCATAGAAAGCTCGCGGCTCTCCAACGGGAGATTGAGAGACCAGTGTTGGACTGTCAGAACAGCTCTGAAATCCATATGAGTTGTTTGCACTAAAGTAAAAACCACCATCACTTCATGCGGAGACCCCTTCAGCGCCAGCTGCGGTCTCAAGGCTGGAGCTGAACAAAACACCCTGATAATGACCGTGTTTAGACTGTTCCCCCCATTCCATGCAAGGCCACCTGGGTTGGCTGGAAGACTGTTTACTTAGCCTGGCAGGGCGAAGGACACTGTCTCAGCTGAACTCTGGACACACACACACACACACACACATACACTGATATGCACACACTGATCCCCCCTCCCTTTCCAAACGGCTTCGATGCTTGTGCCCTACCAGGGAAGATGGCAGTCGACTGAACCAGTGCAGACATGCTGCAGGACCGGATGCGCTGTCTACACCGGCTCTCTCTTACCCTTTACCCGCCCCTGTTGCTTGTCTTGTGTTTCTATGGTGTATTGATAGTCATGTGCTTTTTGTGCTGAGGTGTTTTTTCTGTTATCAAACTGTTCTCCCACTAGGAGCTCAGTCTGAGTGGAGTTTTTTTTCTCCTCCTCTTACCTCATGTTATGTATTTTCGTTGTTTTTTTCCTATCAGCCTACCTCTCTGACATGTCTTCCCAATGTGATGTTTGTGTAAAGTTGGTCAGAAGGTTCCTTTGTAAGTGCGCATGCGCCATTAGCGTGCTGCCTGCTGTAACCCTAATTTCCTTCGGGATTAATAAAGTATTCTGATTCTGATTCTGATAAATGTTGGTGCAACGTTTACTGGATGGAACTGGATGAATATCTGAACACTCTTCTTGGCAGAATTGGTAGAGTTCATTTAAATTGGTTGGTTTCCTTGAATGGACACAGCTTTTAAATGCAGCCCACAAATTTTTAAGTAGGATTAAGTTTGGGGATTTGGGATGGCCATTTGAGAAGTTTAATGTTAGTATATCAGATCACTGTCAAGAATCACTGAAGAATTTGAAGTTAATCCCCCCTTTTTATTATCACATCTATTTTGTGCAATGTACCAGAACTAATGACAGCGGAACAGCCTTAAGAAATGGTGCTACCACCACCATGCTAGATAGTTAGTACAGTCTCCTTCAGCTTAAAGGCATTACCTTGTGTCATTGTGGCCAAATAGCTAATTGTTTATTTTGTCTGAACATAAAACTTTTCTCTGGAAGCCATTTGGCTTGTCCATATGAGCCGCTGCAGATATTGGTCAAGCTCAATTTTGGATGAATAAATATATATCACTATAAATATCACTCATGTCACATAAATCTCATAAATCTGTTTTTTCTTAGTTGAATTTTTTTTAACTTGCCTGTAACTGTTCGCTTCTTCTTTTTTTCATGTTATGCTATTAAAAATTAAACGTACAGGCCAGTCCACGTTACCCATATTTATCATTTTCCATTAGGGCTTACCTTAAGAAGACGTTACCTTTACTTGGAATAATATTTTTTAACCATTCGAGAAACATGTTTGCATCGTGAGTGTGTTAGATAAGCAGCTGCTGTGTAAGTCACGTTCACGTCCCTCCATTCACTATCACCGTGACGCAGAGAACCCGGAAGACGTGTGTTTGCTGTCAATGCCAACGACAGAAAGAAGGCACTGAGAGCTAAAAAGCCCGCATTTAAGACAAGATGGCAGGACTGCCCCGCAGGATCATTAAGGTAAAAAGAAAAAAAAATCACGCCTCAAGCAACAGCATGCCTTTCGTAGTAACGGCAAAAATGCCACAATCACAACCACAAACTCCTAAACGCTCTGGTGGTGCGCCCGGCGAGCAGTTTTGTGTGCTAACATTAGCATCTCGCTGGCTAACGGGTTGTTTGTTAAAGTAACTTCCGCTTCGTTTCTGCACCCACATACGCCGAGACACGACGGGTTAAAAATACACCACCGTGCTGTAACGATGGCGGATAAAAGTCCTTACCTTTTCTAAATATACTTGTCTAAATATATTTTTCTGGTGTTCTCAAGTTGCTTGTAGTGCTGTCAGAAAGGCTGGCTAGCTAAAAATGCTAACGCCGGCTAGTTGTTTAGCATTGCTTGTATTTTAATAAAGCCCGACACTGCAAGCCTCGTGCCTTTACTGTATACTGCAATAACTTAAAATCACACACCCGTTTTATTTTTTTCGTTATTTATTTTTATTTTTTAGCAACCATTGGGAGTTAAAGGTTAGTAAGGTAATTAAAACGTGTTTTAAAAACTGCACAAATTGGATGAATGAAATCGCTCCCACTGTGGTTACTTCAACAAGGCGAATGACTTTCTGTTAATGATAACATTATGACTTGCTAATTTACTTAACGAGCTTAATGATTTGTAAAACTGTTGTTAAGTTGACATATTTAAGGCCTTTAGAGTTTCCTTTTCTGTACTCCACCCCAAATCAAAAATCCACACCTGCGTTACACTCAACCTGACGATTTTTTTTTGGGCGAGGGGGTCCATGTTTTTAGAACGAGTGTGACTGCTTGTTGTATTTGTTATGTTACGTTTAGGGTCACCGTTCAATGATTAAAATACATTTTCACTCGTTTGCCTTCTTAGCAGGGTAATGTGTCATTTTCCCATTTTTCTGTGTTTTCCTGAGTGTGCATTTTCTCAACCAAGCTTTCCAAATGTAGTTGATTCCTCACTTTTGTTTCCTTCTAGATCTGTTGTTGCAGACACAAGCTTTTTATTAGCACACACATCAATAAAAAGGGGACTTTTTGTGGTTGACTATCCACGTTCGTTACCTTATTATACAGAAATGTGTGCAAAAATAATTGAGTGAATGTTAAAACAAATACAGTACAATTGATTTGGTGGGTTCCAGCCTTTATCTATGCTGGACACTACACCTGGACACTACACGTGTCCAGGTGTGTGAGGAAGCAGGCCACAGCACAGACTTGGTGGGAAAAGGTGGAAGGGCTGGGAACAGTACTTGATGGGACGAGCCCTTGAGCCCTGAGAGCGTGTGACTGGGACTGGGAGCCCCTCTACTGTCTGTGTTTTCACTGCATGGTTTTGTCTGTGGGTTATCTGAAACATTTCAGGAATCTCACTCGCAGTTGCATGGAGGAAACGAGTGTAAAAGACGAGTGTGGTGGTTGTTGGAACATTTATTCAATTATATTTTGAATACTGTAAAGTTTGTTTTGTTGGAGTCAGTTGTGCATTTCAAACAGCAAAAGAAGAGACTATCATTTTTAAAACTGAGAAAATAACGAAACAGTTTTGTGCAACTTATTCAACAGTAAATACTTGAGTCCTGTGAAAACCAAGTTCATCCTTACTGCTTCATTGGGAATCAAGAATGAAGATAGCAGCCAGGTGCTGCTAATCAAATGCACATGATTAATTGATTGGCAGGTTTTGCCACTTTGGGGCATTTAGGCACAATCTCACAGGAGTGGGCATCCCAGCAAATTTCCCTCAAGTTCGGATTGTGCAATGCTCAAAGAAACTGCAAAAAAAAACCCAAGAGCTAAATCTCCAATTCTGCAGGCTGCTGTTGGAATTTTAAAGTTCTTTAAAACACAGTTAGAAAGAGATTGAACTAGTATGTGTTGTTTGAAAGTGTTTCCAGGAGAAAGTCTCCTCCTAAAAAGAACAAGGCAGCGCCACTTAGGTTTGCAAAGTTGCATGTAAGCCAAACCTTTAAAGATAAATCATGATAACTCAAGGAAATATGTATTTATTATATCACGATATCTCAAGGAAATTGAGATGTATTTTGTGTTGAGCTTGCTAACCAGCTGCTTAAAAACGTGCCTTCGTATTATGCAATCAGATCGCAAATTTGCATTTGCGCTTCCTGTCATATTGAGTGCTTCAGCTGTGTTTGGTTGTGTCATTTAAGTAGGGGTCACACATCACGAGCTGCTGGTATCTTATCTTTTGGAGCCTGTTTACACCTTCTGTAAGAACAGTTTTCTTGCACATTTTGCAGAGTGCTTTGTTAGGAGCTGTTAAATTGCCCCCCCTCCCCTTTTTTTTTGACTAAGACTTGTGGGTTGGGGGATCCTTTGGACAGAGGAGACCTAAGTGAACACAACATATCAGCACAAACACCTCATGCCAAATGTCAAGCACAGTGGTGGTAGGGTGATGATTTTGCCTTGTTTTGAAGCCACAGGACTTGGGTACCTTGCTGTCATTGAGTGGACCATGCACTCCTCTGTATATCAATGTATTCTAGAGTCAAATATGAGGCCATCTGTTCAAAAGTAAAAGCTTGGTGAAAATTAGGTCATGCAACAGGCCAATGATCACAGCAGCAAATCTACAGCAGAATGTTTGAGGAAAAAAACATAAAGTCAAAGTCCAGACCTTAGCCTGACTGAAATGCTGTGGTGGGATTTTAAGAGAGCTGTGGATAAGTGAAAGTCTGGAAACCCCAATGAACTGAAGCAATGTATTAAAGAAGAGTGGGCCAGAATTCCTCTAAAATAATGTGAGAGACTGATGAATGAAGTCATACAGAAAAGAACATTAAATTACTTTAAGTAATAGCTAAAGGGTCCCCCTCCAAAAAGTTGATTCTGTTCATCTGGACGTAGCGTTTTGTGGGAGAAACGTTTCGTCACTCATCCAAGTGACTTCTTCTGTCTCAGCTGACTGCAGGTTTCGCCAATCTTATAAACAGTACATTTGCATAATGACTGAAACCAGCCCACTGAAGGAACAATGGGCTGGGAGGTCAGTTCCTTAATCTTAATTATGCAAATTCTCATGGCCACTGATCAACAACCACTGACCACTGATCAAATTCCACTGATGAATGGCCATGTGCCAACCAAGGAAACCCCATTGTAAACTGTGCGTTTCATTGTCACAAGAATTTGTTTTCACTTGGTGAAGCAGAAAATGCGTGAATGTTTTGATACTTATTTCTAACCTGTGGCCAAGTTTGTTTTACACTGCTGTAAATAGAACACAGATTAGAAATTTGAGCAGGACTTGATTGTTCAGTTTTATATGGAAGAAAAATGAAATAATGTGCCAGACAACATCTTTTATGCAAGTATGCATAGACTAAAGCAGTCTGACCTAACACAGAAAGTTGAACACCACTGCTGTGATAGTCATTATCTCTGATGGAGATTTAGGCTCTCTGATGTTTAAGGACCCTGATTGTGATCACCATGAAACGCTTTAACTCAAGTGCATAAAACACACAGCGCCCATTATTGCACTGTTTCTCACATGTCTAGGTTTTTTGTGAACATCTTTGGAAAGATTTCATGCTTTAAGGATATCTGTTGCCTTCAACCTTCTTTTGGATGTGTTTAGAAACTGCAGGGCTGCGTATGGTGCAACTCTGCACCCACAGTGAATAACAGGAGAGGACAGGGGGATTTATTTCTCACTGCAACAACTAAACACATCCTGATTTATGATCTATGAATATCAGCAAAACTTTTTAAAGTTTACTATTCTTTTGCTAATTAGATGCATTTATTGGTGTAGCTCTACGAGATATCACCGGAAACACCGTTAATGACCCAGAATCAATATATCAGCTGATATGAAAAGATAAATTATTAGTGTCACTTATTCTTAAGAATATTGAAATATATATTACTATTATCGACTTCCAGTGATGTATTTTATAAACTACTTTGCACCTGTATATGAAGACTGCACATTGCCTTTATTCAGCTACAAATGCTGCAGACTGTAGAAGCACAATAAATGGACTTCCAGTCACTCTACTGGCCAGACCATGTAAGGAATGTGTAACGTCTTATTTTATGTTATATTTAGGTTTTTAGAAAATTTCCTGTTGGCACAAATCTGGAACCATATTATCTGAAACCATCATACCTGTGATTGCCCGATATTATCAGATGTCTTTAATACAACATTCAAAAGCAGTTCCCCAAAATGACCTTTATGGACTTGGTATTCTAATTTATCTAATTCCTTCTCCTTCCTTTGTTTCCGCTTTCTTTATTTTTCCAGGAAACTCAGCGCTTGCTTGCAGAGCCTGTCCCAGGCATCAAGGCAGAGCCAGATGAAGCCAATGCCCGCTACTTTCACGTGGTCATCGCTGGACCTCAGGACTCACCTTTCGAAGGAGGCACATTTAGACTTGAACTCTTTTTACCAGAGGAATATCCCATGGCAGCTCCTAAAGTACGTTTTATGACCAAAATTTATCATCCAAACGTTGACAAGTTGGGAAGAATATGTCTTGACATTTTGAAAGGTAAGCCAGTATTGTAGCTTAAAAATCTATGAGAATATTAATCATGCCTTTCACCATCATATCAGAGACAAAGAATATATTGTCTCTTATTAAAAGTCTCTTCCTAAACAGGATCATTGGTCACTTTTCATGTGTTTTGCCTGTATGCATTTTTTTATTTGACTACACTTGTCTTTGTTTTTATTTTTATTTTTTAATAGATAAATGGTCACCAGCTCTGCAGATTCGTACAGTGCTGCTCTCAATCCAGGCTTTACTAAGTGCACCCAACCCTGATGATCCCCTAGCAAATGATGTTGCAGAGAAGTGGAAGAGCAGTGAAGCTGAAGCCATAGAAACCGGTGAGAGCCATGATCTGGCGTGGTGTAAAGATAAGATTTACCTCATTATTCATGATGTTGTTAGCCAGTTTGATGCTCCTACGTTGTTATGATAATCTTGGTCCACAATCAACATTGCAGTTATGAAGAAGTTAGCCAATGCTTTTAAAAACTATCACAGGCAAACCACCATGACTAACCAAATTTAGGTAACAGCAATCCTGATTTGATAATAAAGTTATTATAGTCTCGAAATTAAAGATTATTAAAGAGAACACTTGAAATGCTTACCATTCGTTATCAAAGAGAGTTTTATATAAGCTGTGACCCGTTTTTTTTTTGTTTTTTGTTTTTTGTTTTTTTTTCCCCTCCCCACATTGCAATGTTATGACATCACAACAATGTGATTGAGCAGTTGTGATGTTGATCCTTGACTAAAATTATGGCATGATGATGATAATGCAGGAGCATTACCCATAATCGTGCCACTTCATCTCTGTATATAAACAAGTCACTTATATCACACACAATTAATATGGAATATTTTTCTTTTAAGTTATGGTTTCCTTTAAAATTGATGTATTTTTTATTTTACTTTGCAGCCAAGACATGGACCAGGCTTTATGCTGGAAACAAAAATGAAGTGTAAAGCAGCCTCTTGGAGACAGAAGTGGAAGCAAATTGTATGAACACAACTCATGTGCTGCCAAGACCACCTCCTGCTTTATTTGCATTTAAAGGACACCATCTTTTAGTGTATATACATGTCAGATTTTCTTATATATGTATACACACTAAAAGTACACACACAAAATATATATATACTGCTGACATTTGGTGATTTAAATGCACACTAGAAATTACGAGCTGTCTTTGTCCTGACTCACTACTATTCAAATGCATGGGCAGAGGTTTTAGATCTACTCATCTAGCTTTCTTTGTCCACTGAGGGGAAAAGGTGTCTTGCATCACACGTTTTTGTTTTTTTTTCAGGGGGGAGGGGGCACAATTTTGGAGCAGGGGAATAAGCTGAGTTAGAGACTGGCTTAGATGTGGATAACATGATATGCTTTTTATGTTTCTTTTAACTTTGTTTTATCGTGTTGCTGTTCATTAAAAGCAGCTAACTCTACTAGCCCACTGTTTTTGTAGGCGCTCGCCTGGAGAAGGTTTAGTCCTGTGTAGGTTTGCCCAGTAGGACGCATAAACAATCATCGCTGTGCTGCTTCTTCGAGTCAATCTGGATTTGTTAAATATAAACTGAGATGACTGAGAACCAAACTGAGCCTGCCACTGTCACATTAACTTTTCCAGCCACTCTCAGTGTGGACTTGGATGTACAGTACTTTTGTGGATGGCATGAGAGTGTGTGTGGTGGGTTCAGTGGACATTGTGGACCTTTCTTTAGTTTTAGCACATACAGTATGTGTTTTGTCTTTTACATGTGAATCTTTTCTTGCTGTTAGCATACTAACTGCTCATGCTTTTCGGCCCCTTACGTCATCAGTTTAATTCTGCAAAACTCTGTGGTTTACCTGCTCTCACTGGCATTTATTTCAAAAAGCAGTGCGGTTACATTTGAACAGTCAGTTGATGAAAGCGGGAACTGGGGTGTTGTGATTGGTGTGTGTGAGAAGAGATGCTGCATTGTGGAGGAGATCACACCAAAAGTGCAATGAAGGCTTTGACTCTTGACTGTTGTGACTGGGCTTTGGCTGTAAAGTCTGTATTCATTTCACTTTGTGTAAATTCATTCTTTGTTAATCTGAAGGTGAAATGTTTTCCTGCTCTCAGAATGATATGAAACAGTCCAACTACAAACTTTTATGTTCTGTAAATAAATTCTGTTGATTAATAAATACCTGACTGTGATTCTTAATAGGACATGTGGTACATTGTGTACAAGTTGGTTTGTAATTTGTACACACACAGTTACGGACAGTTCACCGTTCAAGGGGGACGGGGGTGGAGTCTAACCCTATATATCTATCATAAGGCGAAAAGCCATTACAGGGCAAACGGGGAGAGACAGATTATAGACCCAACTTCCTCTTTACATTTTAGGAAAATGGAAAAACAATGCAGTGATTTATAGAAATGTGCAAACACAAATGGAGGCAGGCATACCAGCAATGTGCTGACTAACACAAAGACAGTAACTGCTTTATATATCTGCAAAATGCAGCCTTTCATTATCTTTAGCGGCATGTTGCGTACTTCATAGGTCAACAAAAACAATCCAGGGTGTTTTTGTACTTTTCTTCTTCCAATCTGTAATAAAAGGACTGGAACCATAGTAACACTTTGGGATGTTAAGTATTTATACGACAAAAAAGGTAACTGGAATCCAAGTGAAATGAAAAATTGCAAACTTAAGAGCGAGTTTTATCAGCCACCACTTTTTTGTTTTTTTTGAGCTGGTATTAGATATTTGTCACTAGAATGGCATTCATACTTACCAGATAATACTTAGTATTGGAACTGCTTTCAATGCATGACGGCAATCTTTTTTTCAGTACTCTACAGTACTGGGCAAATGTCTTGGGCCTTCTCTCATTTCTTTTTAGTTTGCTAGGAAAGTGGGAAATTTATTGGATAATGCAAACGTACATGTAAATACAGTACATAAGGCAAAAACTGAGTTTGTGCAATTCTAAAAAGCTCGACTGAATATTTGATCTGACCACCTTTATTCTTCAACACAGCCTGAACTCTCTCAGGAACCTTTCTTGTATTTTCTTTAAGTAGTCTTCAGGAATAGTTCTCCAGGCTTCTTAAAGGACACGCAGAGCTTTGCTTTGAATGCTGGCTGTTTTTTGTTCTTGTCTCTGTTAAGATGATTCCACACAGTAATGTTGAAGTCTGGCAAACCAAACCATGACTGAAGATGTTCAATGTAGGGTTTTTTTTGTCATGTATGCTTTTAATGTATTGGCAGTATGTTTTGGATCATTGTCATGGCAAAAATGAAGCTGCTGACAATCATGGCAGATCTTTCCAGATGGTATTGCATGGATAAAAATCTGCATTCACGATTCCATCATTTTGACAAGATCCTGAACACCACTAAACTGAAATGGAGCCCCAAACCATGACAGAACCTCTGTCGTGTTTTGAAGAAAGCTGTAACCACTGTTGTACCTCTCTCATCACCACCTCTGAAGACAGTTTGAACCCAAAATTTCACATTAGGATTCATCCCTCCGTCAAACCTGTTGCCACTGCTTTACGGTCCTGTGTAATTTGGGATGCCTCAGCCTTTTCTCCCTCTTTCTCTTCCTTAAAGATTTGTTGACAGCCACCTTTCCACTAAGACCATTTCAGTGAACATTAATGGATCAACGAAAAGTCAAATTGGATCTGTCCAGTTCTATTTCAGGTCTTTGCTGGATTTTTTTCCCCCTAAATCTTAAAATGCTTGAATAATGATCGCTTAGTGTTATGTGGCTCAAGAAACAAAAACATTCTTCTGAAAGTGGCCAGGTACAAGAACTGGACTGAAAAGGAGTTACATAGCAGCCAATGTCCAAAGAAAATCAGAAGCAATTGTATGCTCAGCTTGCAGTTGTGGCAAAATATATTGCACAAAAAGACCTTAAAATGCATTATTATTGATTTTTAAAACCATGCAGAAACCCTGCTACTCAAGTTCACTACAAGAAGATCTTAATATTAACATTTATTTGCTAGTTTAGTCCACACAAAATCAAATTCATGACGTTCTTATAGCTGTTACTGGCATTATTCAGAATTCCAGTCAGGGTTAAAAGCAGTAATTTCAAACTACAGAAAATCATGGTGCCTAAAATCTTCAGTGATTGCCACTTGCCACATGGATGTGGCTTGGATCTCTGTATTGCGAGTTGTTTCATCTGACCTGGAAAACTTCAGCTGGCACACTGTACTCCTGATTTTTAATACCTGTGTTTGCAAAACATGGTTCAGTTCTTAACTTTTCACAAACCCTTTTAATCCTTGTGTGAGTCAGGGTGTATGTTAGGCTCATTCATAATAATCAAGACTATTTGTTTAGCTTAAGCGCTTTCAAACAGAAACGGCTGCCAGTTATCATTGGTTCTGATTTGGACAGTCACTAATAATACAAACACACCAACCTTTTTTTTCTCTCTCTCTTTTTTTTAAAACACATTGCTTCCACAAGTGAATACAGGTAAATAAGGACTGCCTACTTCCACTAGAGGGCACCCCAAGCTTTGAAAGTTTTACGCAAGCCTGCATTTTTTAGTTTTGTTCGTTTAAAGGGAAAATTTGACTATCTCAAGAATCAAGACGCAACAGGTAAGCGTTTTACTCACGTGCTCGTGCAATAAATAAATAAATCACAATGAATAAAATCATCTGTGTGCCATTAAGCCTTTAAAAAAATAATTGACCTTTTCTGTGTTATTTGTGACATGAAATGTTTAGATCTGTTCGGTTTTCTGCATTAAAAATGAGTCAGTGCACTTATTATCGTGGGCATTAACACGCTCTTCAAGTCCATCCTGGCTGGATTTGGAGAGTTTTAACAGCAACTCCATCTCGCAGCTCAGTCACCTTTTCTCTTCCATAAAGGAGACTCGTTTCTGTTCGGCCTGTGCGTCGCAGTGATAAACACGGATGTAAGGTGGGGACTGACGGGCTTGTTGCTGCGCAGCTCTCAGGTCAGCTGGTCGCAGCTCAGCCACCACAGCGTGATGTGAGCCAGTCTGCGTGTTGACAGCGGCACTAAAGCAGCAGAGCAGGTACAGCACCAGATGCAGCCTGACGCGCGCTCGGAGCGCAGGAATGAATGGACCAGCTGCATGGTTTGTCTGGAAGTGTCTGAAGAAGCCAAGCTGCGATATTGTTGGATATTACTGAAAGCACTTTAATCAGCGACTGGTTGAAGCCCGATTTCCCAACACTTCCCTGCCTCCGGAAAAAAAGGCCTCTATATGATGAAGTTTAAGCCCAACCAGACCAGGACGTACGACGTCGAAGGGTTCAAGAGGAGAGCGGCATGTCTGTGTTTCAAAAACGAAACAGAGGACGAGGTAAGCCGTGAAGTTAAACCATTTGTAGGAGGAGAGGGCTTTTATTAACACGCTCTATTTTTGACACAGTCCCAAATTAACCGCTGTGCCTGACAGTACAGCAGCCTGCTTTATCGCGCGTCTGGCTGACTTTCAGTGTGTGGGGAGCGCGTTCACGTGGCTCGTCTTTAATTGAGGTGCTGGGCAGAGGTGAAGGTTGGAGGGGGGCAAATATTTGACCTGTTACAGGGTGTGTGGCTGCAGCTGACACTCAACAGGAGATCATCGTTTTTCACGTTCTTGCCAAGAAGGACATCCAGATTACTCATAAAATCGTCCCAGTTATCTCTAACGCAGAGCAGTCTCTGCATATATTTCACAGCTATGGGCCCATAAACACCTCCTGTCATAAATAAAGTAGTGCAGAGTTTGTTTTCCAACACATCAGCTGATGCGGTTTTACTAAATCTACTTTTGCTGAGATACCTGCTACTCCCGAGACCAGTTGGTTCTACTTTTTGATTCAAATGATGACGCAACCATAAAGCAAATGTTCTCAGCCATTTTACTCACGTGAAAGAAATGTTTGTCTTTAAATTAGAGAGCTGAAAATGAGGTTTTAACGTGTTACATGTAATCAGTCGCCTATTATTTTGTCATTCGTGGAAATGTGTAAGTATACAGCACATGTACGTAGTGATGTATGTCATATAACAAGCACAGACATTGACTGAAACACAAATTATTATTCAGTGATGCGCCAGTTTGGATAAGAAACTTTTAAGTTTGTTAATATTACCGTTGTTTTGTGCTGGGTCTAAATGTGTCTGCCTAGTGACGCAGACTAACTCTGGGCCACATGTGATATGATGAGTAGGGGGCTGAGTGGCTGTTACAGTGTGCTAAACTCCAAGTGACCCATCAGTTGCAATTTATAGAAACAAGGTACAGCCACTTGCTATTCCCTGACAGATTTCCTTTCCTGCTCCTTGTGCCTGGGCCCCTACCAGGGGCGCCTCCAGAATTTTTTCATAGGGGTAGCCGTATGGAGGTCACCAAAAATATTGGGGTGGCACACTACAGAATTTCCAGTTTTATTTTGCTGTTTTCAAATATAGGTTACTTGAAAAATATGGCTGGCAAAGAGAGAAAGAAAAGAATTATATGCCTAGTTAGTTTCCTGCTTTTATAGTTGAGATAACTGAAAATGGGTACATATAAAAACCAAACAAGAGTTGGAAATCCATAATAATCTGTTTTAAGTGACTGACTTAAAGCCCCAACCATCGCTTTAGTGAAACAGCAGAGCTGAGCAGAAGCAGCTTATCACTTATCAGAATGGAGTTGACTTTTAAATTGAAATTTGTATATACATTTTTATTGGATAGAGGTACAGTGGGGAGATGCACCAGTTATCTGTCCGGGGACATCCCCCCCACCCCCACTCAGTGGCACCTGATGTATGGTTTCACAACATATTGATACGTCATATATTTATTCATTTACTTATTTTTACATGTCCACAGCTATGTAACCACACATTTCTGTGGAAAAGTCTTGATCCGTAACTGATTTCCTTATATTATATTCCACAAAGCCTGCCTTGTCTTGAGAAAAAGTTCTCCAGGCTTTCTGAAGGTCTGTCAAAGTTTTTATTTTGACCAGTTGCATCTGGTATTGATTATTGTAATCGTATCCACACAGACTTCCCTCTAGAGTTCAGCTGGTCCAAAATACTGCTCCTCTTGTCATTACCTGAACCCTTTCCACAGAACACATCACTCCTGTCTTTCAACAGTTTCACTGGTTTCCCTTTAATCACATTAATTTTAAGTTTCTGCTTCCTACTTGAAAAGGTGCCTATAGATAAAATGTATTCTTCCTATTATTTGCTGATAAATTGTTATTTTTAGACACCAATGTAAGTATTTTACAAGCAGTGAATCCTTAATTAAGGCATTTACTGAGACAAAGGTTGCCTTTTAAATTTAGCTTCTTTTGAAAGGCATTAACACATCGTTCAGCCCGTAGAATTTGGCCGGAGTGGGATCAGACTGTAAAGATGTCGGGGTTCTGCCCACTCCAAACGCTTCCTCACTTTCCCCCGATCGTGTTTGGTGCCTGTCGGGGTCATTAACCTCCTCTCCTAAGCTCTTTGTTTTGATACAGAGAGGTAACTGCTGATCTGGTGGTTTTTGGAAAGCCTGTTGTCTGTGTGCGAGTAGCTGTGTCTGTACAAGTGCCTACGTGCTTCACATGCCGTTTGTGTGAAATTGCGCATGCATGTGTACGTTGTGTGGATTTGTGTCACTGAGGCAACTTGCGGTGTTTCTACAGTCCCCTGGACCCTGCGCGGATTCGTTTAAGATGAGATGTGTCACCTGGAATACAAAACCAGCTAAAATAATTGGCCTTCCTCTCTGTGGCTTAATGTGAGTAGCCATAGAAAGCAGAAGCCATGATGTGGAGTAAACACATACATTTGATTTTAACTAAGATTTTGGCAATGCCATGGCTAAATAAATTAGCTCACTGAGCAGAGTAAATGCGTAGAGAGATGTGTCTGCTGTGGAAGAGTATGAACTCGGACATTGAAGTGACTTTAACCTTAATAACTTAGTATTTTATTCACTCATAGATATGGACAGAGTTGCACTGTTAAAAATAAATCACATGGTTTCTAGAGAGTTTGTAAATAAAGGAGCAGAGTGAGAAAGTGTTACACTCATATACACTGGGTATATATCACCCATATATATTGGGTGATAAATGACATTAAGCATTTATTACCCAAAGAGATCAGCTTTGATGATATGAAGATGTTACCATTAGGCGCTTCACAAAGTTGCTTCCATTTTGGAGCGTGAGCAGAAAGATCTTACAGAGGGAAACCTCTGCTGTAACAGCTGTGTTTAATGTGGAAAGGGTTTATTCGACTGGCGTTTTTAACACAGGTGAGTGTTAGCCTGACTGGAGAGTGAGTTGGTTGCCCAGTGTTAAGGTTTCAGAAGGCAGTCCTACATGAACTCAATGTGGGTCAGTGATGCCGGATTGGGTTTAAGGTCAAGTAACTTCGTCATCAAAACACCAAACTGCATTGGCTGGACGGCAGTTAAAAATAGTGTGCAGCTTTAGGATATTTCTTTGGGTTAGAACGTTGATTTGTACTTCTTCAAACGCAGTGGGATTAAATATAACATTTGATGTTGGTACTACTCAAAACGCTAAAGCTGGCCGTACTGTAAATAGATTCCAGATTATGAATTATCTTTCATTAAATCCACTGACAACTAAAAACAGGCCGATACATGAATCATTACATTAGTTGTTCTCATTCGTCTATTTAAATTATGTGCCAAAGAGTGTGACACGCAGAGCAGCATCATTCGCACAGCGCTCATGTTGCATTAAGTAAATGAAGTGAATGACTGGAATGATATGCGAGATGTTCGACATGCGTCTGCTGAATGACGAGCAGTTCGTTTGGCCACCGCGTCCGTGCTGACGGACGCTGAACTCGGGCATGCTGTTGCTGTGCTTTTTGCACCCCAACCTCAGTAGCAGAGGCCTGACGGAGGGCTCTCTCTCCTTGGCAGGTGCTGTTGGTGAGCAGCAGTCGCCATCCAGACCAGTGGATCGTGCCAGGAGGGGGAATGGAGCCTGATGAGGAGCCCTGTGGAGCTGCTGTCAGGGAGGTGTATGAAGAGGTGAATTGATTGTTCATTAATTAAACCCATAAAGACGTTTCTATTGTTTGCATGCATTGTTGGTTAAAGCCTAGGATCTATACAGTACTGCGCAAAGTGATGAACGACACCCCATTTCTTTATATTTTGCAATGAAAATAGGAAATAGGTGCAGTGACTTATTGAAACGTATGTGGGAATACGTGTTTTTGTTGAAGGACATTTAAAGCTCATCTTGGATGTTGACTGCCGTTCATACCGTTCTCTGTCAAGATGATCTTACACTGCTTTAATAATGTTGAAGTCCGGGCTCTGAGGGGGCAAATCCATGACTGATGGAATTTCATTGTTTGTTTTCATATCCAGGTATGATTTTACTGCACTGGCAGTATGTTTGGGTTCATTTTCATGTCATGTATTACATGGTGAATCTACCATGTTAAACAGATTGCCACTAACTTTTGTATTTTTCAAGCTGTGCTATCATTTTCCATAAACTAAAGAAATGCATACAAATGATTTTGTTTTTGCAAAAGGACACGAAGTGGCTAAAGATACAATTAAAAATGGGATCTTTGCTAAGTTGCCTGCTATTTGCCTTTTCTATGCGTGAATTATTCACAGGTTTGCCTTAACAAACCAAAAACTTTCATATGAAAATTATGAGGTACAAGAAGCTGACTTAAAATGAGTAAAAAAGCAACTAATGTCCAAACAAACAAACAAAGAATCCTTTGAATAAAGCCTGGAGAACTATTGGTCAAAACCACTTTTTAGTACTTGGGAATCAAAATGTAAAGAAATGAGAGGTGGCTCCAGACTTTTCCATAATCACCTCTCACGGAGACAGTGTTATTTTTCATGCAGAGCACAATATAAAAAGCAGCACTCCGAAGTTTCCTTGAGATTAGTAACCATTTTTGGCTCCATTAATATTGGAAGTGACACAAAGTTACCATAGTGTTAAAAAGTAATAAGTATAGGGAATTTTATCAGTTGTCAGCTGATAATGTTTATTGGTTTTCCAAGGAATTATCTCATTATTTAAGTGGAAGATAAATAAAAAAAATCATGACATTTCATGACTTTGAACACTGGGGGGCTAATTTCCATCTCAGTATCATATATTCTGATTGCAATGTATGCATCATGGGCTCAAAGGACAGACACATTAAACTGAAAGTGAAATCAGTAAATCTTTGTCAGAAGTGTCATCGCTGTTCACAGTACAAGTCGCTCCTGTTGTTCTACCAGCCAAAAATCCAGAACAGAAGTAGAAATATGTGGCAAGGATGCATGGATAGCCAGCTTATCATGCTGTGGTTTAAGAAAGGAGGCTGCTGGTGGCTGGCCAGATTGTTCACAGCAAAGTGAGCTGTGAGCTTCTGACATGGATAGCAGTGTGCTGACAGCTTTGAAGTATGGCAGTGACATTTAGGAAGGGGTTCCAGTTGCCCACATCCTGCGCCTCACGTAGCTGACGCAGATCAGGATAAAGGCGATTCAAAGCGGATTGAGCCTCATTTGTTAATTTTTATTTGTGCATAAATTTGTAAAGCCTTGTAGGCCGTTGTGTGCATTTTAGTGTGCTTTTTTTTAAAGAAGTCTGGAAGACATTACAGCAATGACCGGGATGTCTGTTATGGTTTGATACTGTAAATGATAGCTGTGTCCTAACTGTGTACTATACTTGAGCTAAGCCCCCTGTCTCGTGTTTCTGTCATTTAGACTATGTTTATGTCTACCTGGGATCATATATGACGCGAATCCAAGTGATCTCGCTGCACAGTGTGTTGAAAGGACAGTTTCACCTGAATATTTTAGATTATGACTTGTGGACAATCACTTTTAATAATGACTCTGATTTATGTGTGCAGGCTGGTGTAAAGGGAAAGCTCGGCAGACTGCTTGGGATATTCGAGGTATGTTATGAAAAATTGTAATTTGTAATCATGTCGCGATACATAGTGCTGTATAAAATCATCCTACTGCCGCACCTAGCGTTTTTGTATGTCTGTGGTCAGACAATCAACTTGTTTAGTTCATGGAGTTTCTATAAAAGAAATGGTACGGCTAATCACAGTTTTTGCCTTTTTTAATGAAGGCTTTGCACGCACTGCGTTGGTGGTTTGTCAGAAAAACATAAATTCATTTTCTCTTCATGTAAACCTTTGCAGCACAATCAAGACAGAAAGCACAGGACTTATGTCTACACCCTCGTGGTGACGGAGATGCTGGAAGACTGGGAAGACTCTGTGAACATTGGTATGCCTCTGTGTCCCTCTTTGTCTTATTATAGTATCTTATTCTAGCACCCAAGGGTCACAAAACTAAATTACAAGGGGAAAAGAGTGAAAAATATTCCTGTGGTAACAAGATTTTTGAGGGTTTTTTTTGTGTTCTCCCTTTTTACGGGCATCCCTCATATGCATGTTTTTTGAGATCCTGTGGTTTATTAAAAAAAACAAAAAAACAAAAGCAAGCAAAAGGTTTTAGCAACTTTTTGCATTACATGTTCTGTTTCAGGGTTGAGTTTCAGGGCTTTCAGTCTCTTAGTTCAAGATCTTGGCTTAGGATCATGCATTGGCAAGGTGTATTTTTTATTTTTTTTTACCGGAATCACTTGCTCACATTAAACATGCCTCAACTAAGTGTTTAGGTTACACATTTTGATTCGCATAAATGTGAAAGGGATTATAAACTCATATATAGCATTAGTCTTCAGATAATCTACTGCCTTTGAAGGTGGCACACATAAGATGACTCCATAAGCAGAATGAAGAGGAACAAAACACAACGAGGAATGTGTAACAGCTCCACTGATTCATTTGATCTAAATCAGGGATGGCAAACTCATTTTACACCGAGGGCCACATACAGCTTTGATCTGGAATGGGGCGGAAGACTGAAACCCCCACTTCCAATCCACTTAAGGAAGTTTAACTACACATTAAATCCCTCAGATGTCTTAATACTAAAAAAGAAGTGCAATTTCAAAAGTTTGTCATTTAGAAAGAACTGAGATGAAGAAATGTTTCTGTTACTGTGGACCCATTGTAAAAAAACAAAACAAAACAGAAATTTCTATTGTAGATAAAAACAGGTACTTTTCGATTAATTATCTTTTACTTTGGTGTAATATGAATGGCATGGGAGCAGGTCTTTTTCAGTAGGAAATAAAGTAAAACAGATAATAGTCCACAGTTGAAGCCATCCTTCACATTTTCCAAAACCATCAAGTGGGCTGTATTGAAATCCTTACCCGGCCGATTCTGGCTCCCGGGCATTAGGTTTGACACCCTTGATCTAAAATTCTTAACAGAACAATTGGACAATTGAACATGTCTGCCCATGTGTCTGTTTTATGGAAAACATGAATAACAGATTCATGAACTGAGTAGCAGTTTCCCAGATTATGTCTTTCACAATGGCTGTATTGTCTTTTTGCCTCTTCCTTCATCCTGTGTTGGCTGATTGTCAAAATAAAATGACATGCAACTGTGCTCATAACTTTCCGCAGGGCAGTTCAACACTTCATTTAGATCTAGATTTTATTTTTATTTTTTCACAAATTCAGCCTGAATTGTAAATAAACTGGTTTAAATTGATTTATATTAGCATACCTGTTCAACTGCTCATTAATGCTCATCTAATCAACCAATCAGATGGCAGCAACCAAGTGCATTTAGGCACGTGGGCATGGTCAGGATGACCTGCTGAAGTTCAAACCGAGCATCAGAATGGGGAGCTAACGTGATTTTTTTTTCTTTCTTTCTTTCTTTCTTTCTTTCTTTCTTTTTTTTAAGTGATTTGAATGTATCGTGGTTGTTGGTGTCAGGTGGATCTGAGTATTTCAGAAGCTGCTGATCTGCTGGGATTGTTCCACACAGCCATCTCTAGACTTTACAGCTAAAAAGTGGCACTCAGCCAGTCAGCTAAGAACAGAAAAGGCTACAATTCACTCAGGTTCACCAAAAGTGGACAACATGAGATTGGAAAAACATCTGGTCTGATGAGTCTTAATTTCTGCGGGCAGCAGGGTCAAAATTTGACATGAACGCCTTGAAAGCACTGATCCATTCTACCTTGTGTCAGCAGTTCAAGCTGCTGCTGGTGGTGTAAATGTGTGGGAGCTATTTCCTCATCACGTTTACCCCTTGATACCAACTGAGCATCGTTTGAATCAATGCCACAAAGGGTTTAGGCAGTTCTGAAGACAAAGGGGGTCCAGCCTGGTACTAGCCTGGTGTGACTGATAAAGTTGCTGGTGGGTGTATGTTGTGATTACATGTAGGTCAGACATTAAGTATGCTCGAATGGAGATCTCTAATATAGCAAGCGGTTCGTTACACGTCGCCAATATCTATGTTGACTTTAAGTTAACATAGAATGTTTTTCTAAACTGTAACGCATATAAGGTGGATGTACATGTTTAGATATGTTTTCATGGATGTTTTCACTAACTGATATTTTAAATGGAATACTTTTCCCGGGATTGAGTAACTTGTAAACTATTTCTAACTGGACTGGAAAATGTGGTTGTGGCCGTTTACTCCCTTCACCCACAGAAGTAAGAGTTCAGCCTGTTCATAAGGGGGAGGAGTGTTTGCTGTGCCCAGCTGTTTTCCAGTTATCATCACTGACCACAGCAGCCCCCCTTACTTGTCCTCTTTTGCCCTACACGAGGGTTGCGACTGAACAGAAAGGGTTTACTACTACAGGTTGAATTGACTCCCTCGCCTCCTTAAATGCTGGTAGTGGTGGCACTCTTCAGGGTGCCAACATGAAGTGAAGGCATCCTCCTCCTCATTATCACACCAGGCTCCAGTTATCACAGAGCATGGCAAATCCCTTTAGCAAAGTGCTGGAATTGAATGGGAGGAGATGAGTTTGAATAAAGTATAAATAACTTCCAGCTGTCGCTTTGCTGGACAGATCATTTTTATGGAAGATACTTTTTTTAGGGTTTAGGGCTGTCTGAAGTATGCCCATGTCCACACCGACACCCACTGGTGCCATGACATGCACAGTTTATTTTTGTGTGTGGTGAATAAAATGATCCTTTAGTCATCCTTTCATTCAGCAGTCTCACTCAGCGCTTATTCAGGCTCTCTGTGACAAATTATACAATGCTTGCTTAATGGTGGCATGCCCTTTGGAGCATTTTAAATACAATTAACACACAGTGTGGTTTGCTTTGTGGATATTAGTATCCAAAATTTGTTCAAGAAGTCTTTGCTAAGTTTAAAAATACTATTATATTTCTATGTTTGCACCTATGGACTGGATGGACTGGGTCCAGTCTGAGTCTCCTCCATTTTCAATCTCATGCATTTTGAGCACTACCTGACCCTAATCATCTAAACACTGAGTCTTTGCAGTACGCACACTCCTTTCCTTAATCTTTGCCACAGCTAGTTCCTGCTAACTCTGCCTTGTTTGTATTTTGGATACTTTGCCCTTTCCTGTTTTCTGCCTTGTGCCTTTTTTGGATTTGTTTGTTACGCTTATTTCCTGTGTACGACCCATAGTGCTCAAATCAAGAGCTTCATTATGGGCCTTTTATCTTTTTTTTCTTTCTGATTTGCGCCTCATCTTCTCCACTTATTTTCACTGTATTGCCCTAAGAAATGTTTTAGTTGCTTAAATGCATTTGAAGGACACGGAAGAGAGGAGGTTTGTCTGAGGAGCAATTATCTAGGATTCACCGGTGTATCATTGTGTATCTTTCTCTGAAGAGTTTTTACCTGCTACCAGTTAAACTTCTGGGGTATTGATCTGGTCAGTTAAGTAAATGGATTCTTCAAAGCGCTCTATACAACATGCCACATTCACCCATACACATCCATTCTCACAAGCACTTTCTCTATACTTAGTGCTTTCTAACTACATTCACACTTCGATGGATGCATCGGAGAGCAACTTGAGGTTAGTATCTTGCCCAAGGATACTTGGCATGCAGACTTGAAGGAGCCAGGGATCGAACCACCAACCTTCCGATCAGTAGGTGCTCTACCTCCTGAGCTACAGCCACTCTGCTGCTTTGGTGTTATTGAAATTAATAACTAGAGGTAAACTAGAGGGGCAACAATGAGACAACTAACAAAACAGGAATGATCCACATTCTTTCCCTCCATTGGCTAGGGTCAGTATCACTACCGGCAGCATGCGGTGATGCCTGGACTCGGACTCTACAGAAGTTTCCCATGTAGTCCAAATCTCCTAGAGGGAGATCCCATCAGCAGGACCAGTATCTGTTCCTTTATGAACAGGATGGAGCTTTACCTGACTTCCAGCAGGTGACTGGTGTAAATACCTTTGACTAAACAATCAGAAACAGACTTCAACATTGTCTAGTGGACCCTGCGCTAACTGCCTGCCATTATGGAGCCCAACTGGCATTTACCTTAAAACACCAGAATTGGCTGGTCCACCAGTGAGCATGTGTGACAGATTTTAAGAGGTCTGCAGAAGCTGTGGAGAGCGTTATGCTACCTTTAACATTGTTTAACATGATTGATTTAGTGGTGGGTTAGTGAAAGTGTGGAGAGGCTTATCCATGGAGGGACACACAGAGGTCTATGGGGTAGGCAACAGCACCCTGACCATTAGATATCGGGATTATTTTCATTGTCAGACCCAATGCTGGTGCAGCGGGTCAGGGTTCCTCATGGTGTAATAGTAAGAGTATGCAGGCAGTTCCTGGTGGACGAAGGAACTGATACATGTTACTGGGCCCCATGCTTGTCTGACCTAAATCCACTCGAACACTTGTGGGACATTATGTTTTGGTCCATCCGATGCTGCCAGGTTGCATCTCAGACTGTGCAGGAGCTCAGTGATGTGCTGGTCCAACTTGTGAGAAGATCCCCCAGGACACCATCTGTTGTGCACACATTATCAGGCATGCATACAAGCATGTGGGGGCCATACAAATTACGGAGTTCTATTTTGAGTTGCTGCAGTGACATTTCGGGAAAATAGACTAGCAATCTGTAGAATCTTTTCACTTTGATGTGGGGGTGTCTTGAATTGAGCCCTCTGTACGTTGATAATTTTCATTTCCATCAAACGATATGCATGCTTTCATTCCTAACACATTACCCAGTCCATATCAGTATAGATGTGCGGCATGATTTTTTTTTTCTCTGATGTGTTTTCAGAGTGTTCTTTAATATTTTTTAAAAGTGTATATAGCTCACCAAGATCATAACATGATATCAACTGCCTTAAAATGACAGTTGTGAAACAAAGATGTGTCATTTTGCTAACAGCCTGTTGCCTCATCTCTCTCCTCATCTTTCTTCCTCTCCTCCTGTGATCACATTTCTGATGGGAGGGACCAAGATGCAAGGAGATGAGGAAAGGAATCGAGGATGTGCCAACTGAGAAATGAGCAGAAGGGATGGACGAGCTTATGGTTTCCTGTGACCTAATATCTGAAATGTTGCAATCATATGCTGAGAAATGTTTTGTTTCTTGTTCCTTGTTTAGATTGCCTTAATCAAGACCTTATTGTGATCTTTTACGAATATTTATCAATATCATATTAGCAGTTATGCATCTATCAGGATGGACGTGTTACGGACTTAATGACACTTCAATACAATGTGTGGGAAATTGTTTTAAGCACAACACTGATTGTGTGAGCCACATGCAAACAATTCAACTTTACTTGAATCTCTTCACAGGAAGGAAGAGGAAGTGGTTCAAGGTCGATGAAGCCATAAGGGTGCTGCAGAGCCACAAGCCTGTCCATGCAGAGTACCTACACAGACTTAAGGGCACCTGTAATCCCACCTGCACTCCCATGTGTGGCCCAGCTAACGGCAATGGCCTGAGCTCCCACATGACAGATGATGACGCACCCCACTATGTTGTTTGCTCCACACACTGCTCAGACCTAGTCAGCAGATAGGAGCCATAATGGCAGAGAGCAGGTCTTCTGAGAGGAAATGAATTTTCAGCTGAACTTCTTGAGACTGATTTGAAGAGACACTGAAAAAGTTTTTCAAATGTATTTAAGACTTTTTTTAATGTATTATTTTTTTTTAATTCCTGTAAAGCATTTCCTTTTCAACTTTAGGCAGACTGCAGTGCACTGATTATGCAATATAAAGGCCTGTTTAGTCTTAGATGTTGTATATTTGACTGGCGGCACACACTGTGTGCTGGTGATTTCCTGGAGGCGGTATGGGGAAGTGTTGGCTCCTGGAGGAAGCCTTATTCCCACAGTGACTCAGTGCCAAACAATGTGCAAGATGTTTGAAAAAGAGTAGCTGCAAGTCTATGGATGGACTTTACAAACTGCTACCTTGGGAAGTTTGTAAGGAATTCTGCTAAAAGAGATGAGGTAAAGTCTGCAGCAAGCGTGGACAGCATTGTTATTACTTCCTCAGCGCACACAGTATCATCTCTAAGCACTAGTGACACTGAACAAGCCTTAAATCATGTGTGTATATATTTGAATGCTGTCAATGTGAGTGAAAACTGAGTAAATTAGAGAAAAACTTTATATAGTGAACTGAATCAAACATGAAATGGCACATATCCTCAGAAAAACTATAATCTAGTGCATTATAGCAAATGTTTTATATAGTGTATCTGCAGAGATGCCTTAGAAGAGTCTGACAAATGCTGCACAAAGTCTCCCATTAAGTGCCTTCATAAACACAAAGTAAATGAACAGAACAAATCAAGCCTTATACATGCTGTCAAAACAACCCAGTTTTTGGAAGCTGGGCTCCATAGGACATTAAGAAAAATGTGGGTTTGCTTTTACGACAGAGGGTGCACAGTGACTGAATTTATGTTCCGCTGGGAAACATGGACCGAAAAGTATGACAGGAATTATGGTCGCCTGATTCTATTTGATGCTTTGCTTTAAACTTTAATCCAGTTTCTTCACAAGTTAATATTATTGTTTTTATTTATTGCTTTTTAATTGTCCACTTTTAGGCTTTTGCTTCAGAACATAATCATATATTTATATATATATATTTTAAAAGTAAGCTTTCATCTTTTTTCTCCCTGTGATTAGTTTGGGCTTAGTGTTTGGACTATACCATTAATACCAGGCTGTAGACTACTCCCCCTGGTGGCAATGGTACAGTCCAACTACAAGCACAAAGCATAGAAATGGAAAATTAAGTATGCAAAGAAGGAAAAAAAACTGAAGCAAACCCCCAAACGTGCACAGTTAAAAATCAAACTGAGAGTCGTTTATTTTTGGAGAAATAAACTGTGGATCGTGGAAATCCGTTTTTTATTATGTGATTATTTTTTGATGGTGCTTGTTTCAAAGCGTTGTATTGTGCATGGAAGTCCTTTAACACCTAGGGGAAAAAAGCTCAAATATGGTCATAATTTAACTTCCTAGGCTACCATTGGCAGGAAAGCCCATCTAACATCTTTCCTCATTGTCCATGTGTGACTGGGATATTCTATTGTGTGCAAAATATTTAAATAAACATCGTTTAAAGATAATTACTATTGTGACAGATTTTTATTGAGTGCTGCAGAGCATGACGGCTCTTGTATGTAATCCTGAATATCACCAGGTTGTGTATCCTCCTGGTGCTGAGCCATCCTCTCCATGACCCGCCCATCCGTCGCTGCTGTTCCCTGAGTCCGGTCAGGTGTTCGCCGTTCACAGACGTAAACTTGGCATTTTGAAAACTGTCAGGATTTCTTGACGGGACAAAACACAATCGAGGCTATGCTCAGACGGATACTGCAAATGGTAAGCTATCCGGGGGACAAAGCAATCATCGGGATCGATTTTTGTTTAGGCAACTGGAGACGTTTTCCTCAGAAGACACAGGCCTGTCTATGTCTGGTTTCGTGGTGGAGACGAATGTTTTGATACAAAACGTATTGCTGATGGGCGGGTTTACGTTTAGCTAGTGAGAACTGGTAGGCTGAAAAAGTTCCTGCAGGTCGGAGTGAATACATCGAGCGCTCCTTGCGTTGGGCTGACACAGCTAACCATTAAATGCTAGCTTGGATAAAACGAGCATGCTAAAGTGGACAGGAATGAAACTAGTCTGTGGATTATAATATACTTAAATTTTATACCTCTTAAGGGTTATTCCATTATGGGAGAGCTTTAAAAGCTGATATATTTAGTCATTGACACAGTTTCTATTCGTACTTTCCGTTAGCTAGCTATGTTACATGAGTAGGTAGGTAGGTTAATTCATCGTCTTCTCGTCACATGCTAACAGTGACGTTAGCTACCTACTAGTGTTGGGAAGTGTTGTCACCTGGCTCACCACAACGTAGAAACACGTGTTTTAACCAAGTAAACACAAAACTGTTCATGCTGGCAGGGTTAATTAAACTGGCTGCTTGTCTTTAAAGTTAATTGTGAGAGTAAAGAGCAGAGGTCAGCTACTTGGCTAGCTTCTTAGAAGACTACATTTACCACAAGGCATCGCTCCTCGCGTTAGTTTGTATACATTAGTTAGATCACAATTTAATAAGAAAAATCTTTACCCATTCCGTTTTTATTTAGGTCGGTACATTTTTAAAGCACTTAGTACTGTTTTGTTCTGTGTTTTTACACATTATCTGTAGCCTTGTAATTATTAACAGCGAAGCTGCAAGGACGGGAAATTGTGAAGGCAGAAGAGGTTAAACACCTGGAGATCGTGAACAGAGAGGTGGAGATAAGTGTCAGGGCTGATTTGGGACAGAAGCATGGCAGGAAGACTGAAAAGTCCTATTATAAGATGGTAATAAGAGACAGTGGGACTGACAAAAAGGCCAGGTTGAGTGGTTTGGAGACAAAGTTAGAGAGGAAAGGCTGATATAGTTTGGATATGTTGAGTACATGCAGGGGGTTGGTGCAACAGAGGGGATAATATGGATAGGGTAAGATGAAGGTAGATGATCCCCTATGGCAAGTCCTAAAGGGAGCAGCCAAAATAAGAAGTAGCAGCTTTGTAACCGTCACCACCTTTTGGCTATTATTATGGGTTAATAGGACTAAAGGGAGACATGCTCTGTTTAGAGAAGACAGCTCACATCTCACCCCTTTTTATATAAGAGAAGTTGCTTTTGAACCACCTTATTTACAGAGTGATTAGACACTCAGGTAATTTGATAGGTTCAAATACTTATCAGGCTACAAGATACTGATATCAGTTCATTTTATACCTTTGCCATATCACAGTTGCAACACCACCCTCGACCTTAACAGGATTTCAACAGGTTTTAACAGCAGTTTAAAAGATGACAAATATTGCATTTCCAGTCCATTTCAAAACAATGTACAATAATAATCCCACTGGTAATGCAGTTGCTATTATTGAAGAAGGCCTGTAGTATAATACAGTTTTGTATATTTTTAATGTATGTATATTTATTTTTGAGGCTAGTAATATTACATAACACACACACACACACACACACACACACACACACACACACACACACACACACACTATTTGTTGAACTAGGGTTAAAGGTTGCTCCGTAATGCAACCCAACCCTTAAGTGTTTTGCCAGCCTTTAAACAAACTTAGGTCAGTCTTTGCTGAATGCCCAACTTGCACAAACACTAATTTTGACCTCTTTCATTCATGTCACCTGCACCAATAAATCCTTTTTGTGAATGGAAAACCTGCGGAACATCTAGCTAATGTGTTTGTTTTTCAGGCCAGTGGGCTAAAGCCTTGCACATTTCATGAAGTCACAGAAAATTTGTAAACACATATGTCAAATAGTTATTGATATGCAATAACACAGGAAAGGCAGATAGTCTAGGTAAATCATTGCTGCTTTTAAAACTGAATCTGTGACCGAAGCATCGCCACACTAGCACCATAGCGTCATATATGTGAAATGCTGGAAGCACTGATAGGAACTGTACAAGGAAAGTCAGTCTTGGGGAAATTTTAAAAATATTTCCTAGCCAGATTACAAAGTGTGCTCCTGACATGACACTTAGCATTGAGATCAAATAGTTCCTGCTTGGTTAGTGGATGTTGTTTCTCACAGTCGAGGTCCTTTCTTTTCGTAACTCCAGGCAGCTTTCAGGTGTCTCTTGCTAGAAAGGCCTCTGCCTTGCCTCTTTGTCATGAAGCCCAGGTGCCCAATAGCTTAGTTTGGCCTTAGCAGTTAGGGCTAGAATGACTCTTGGCGTTCTAAAAATCTTCCCTTGAAGAAGTGTCGAAGCTCCAGATCTGTGCCTTAACACAATCCTAGATCCAGGCTCTGTAGGGTGTTTTAGTTCCACATGGTCAGGTTATGCACTGGTAAGCACTGTTACACAGTAAGAAAATTCAGGATTTGTATCTCCTGGTTGGCTTGGACCTTTCTATGTGGAGTTTGCATGTTCCTCCTACACTCAAAAGACATGAATGTTAGCTTGGCTGTGGAACTGATGAAGATAATTCGCTTAGAAGTGCATAGAAGAACTTACTGAATGAATGTATGGGTAAATGTGACTTTAGGTTCTTTAATATGTCAGACTTTACATAGACAGATATGTGCCTTTGCCAGAGATTATTAACTACTATAAATATTACAGATGAAGAGAAACACGAGTCATCTCAGTTATATTTTAAATCTTAAAACAAATGGTGTTGTTAATGCTTATAACAATGTGATTTCAATAGATCACAATGTTATAAGTTATGGACTTTTAATTTTGTCGCGTTGAGGTATTGAGCTTCAACATAAAAGTCTTATTTTCTGTTCACCAGACTCCCGGGAAGGGAGGGTCTCAGAATGCAGAGTCAGAGCAGCCCAGCACCGACCTTAACCACGATCAGACATCTGAGGTAATGTGGATGCACTTTGCTTTTAACTGAGAACTTCTACTTTTGTTTTTTCTTTTAGTTTTTGCTGTTTTTATGTTTTTTTTAACTGAAGCAGTTTTCATTAATGGCATACTTCTGTGTGCAGGGCTTCATCTGTCCTCAGTGCATGAAGTCTCACAACTCTGCAGAGGAGCTGTTCAAGCACTATGAGCTGTTCCATGATACCGGAGACCTCCCTGCTCACGTGGCCCCCACTAGGTGAGATTAGCGTTTCTGATCAAAGCATAGAGACTGACCTCAGTACGTTTGTGGCAGTGTTTAATTTAGTGTTTGTTTTTTTTTAATCAACATGGTATTTTTTTTTTCTCTTTTAGGGAAGACCTCACAATGCTGCGGCAGGAGGTCCAGGACCTGCACACTTCTCTCAAGGTATAGCTGCGTTTAAACTGTACCTGTTAGCGAGCGGTGTAAATGATTCTGCAAACTTGATTTATGAGTGTGTTTTTCATGGTTAGGAGGAAAGATGGTTCTCTGGTGAGCTAAAAAAGGAGTTAGACAAAGTCCAAGGACACCTGAAGCAGGTAAATGCTTCAAGATAAAAAAAAAACATGTTTTAATGAAGAGATGACTTTGTGAATATAAAACATGATGCTAATGCAGTGTTTCTCTCATTCGCTCACATCCGCAGAACGATGGGCAGATGAGCGCGGATGATTCAGGTAGGGGACCCTTAAAGTGCACGTGTAACTACACAGCAGATCATCAGTCGCTAATATGTCATGCTGTTTTTCAGTACTTGAAAGGAAGCTGAATGAAGCTGAGACAGAGAAGTTCAACATCAAACAGATGAAAGACCTGTTTGAGCAGAAGGCTGCCCAGCTGGCCACAGAGATAGTAGGTTAGTGTTCGGCCGGACAACTGGGAGGCCTGTGTCTGTGGGTCTGCATCATCATTTATTTATTTTCCTTTTACAAATCCATTTGTCCTTATTCAGAATTTTTTCGTTTTTCAACCCAGCCTCAAGGAATGAGTATTTTCCGGGATAAATCTGATTAAATTTTTTCTTTTTTTTCCCATTTTTTCCATCACTGAATCCAACAGATTTGAAGTCCCGTTACGATGAGGAGAAAAGCCTCAGGGAGGCTGCTGACCAGAGATTAGCCAAGTTGAACGAACAACTGCAGGAAGCGAAGGAGGAGAACGAGCGACTCCAAACAGAGCTGGTACAAGAACACGCTCCAAGTGTCTTTTGTTATTTATTCTGTTCACTCGAGTAAATGTTTTCTTTAGAGTTTGACCTCCACAGTGATTTCAGTTTGACTCTGAGCTGTGTTCCTGAAGGATCAACACAGGCCCTGTCCACACATTTGTCAAAGACATGTTGAGAAAAATGGAATCTTAAAAAACTTTTATCACCAAAAAAAGTGAACTGGCCTCAGCAATAGAGTCGTGTGGTTCAAACGTACAATTATGCTCATATTCCTGTGCCATCTGGCCTGAACAGGTGTTAAGTGTTCCAACTGGTTTATGGAAGCTTCACCCAAAAATGCAGCTAGGTCCTTTTTTTGTGTCTCTACATCATTTCGTTGGATTTTAAATCAAACTATCAATATGTGATATAAGTGAGACTTACAGCTTTAATTTAAAGGGCTTAATGAAAAAATTGCATTACCTGTTTAGAAATGACGGCCATTTTTATTCATATTCCCCCATTTTCATAAGATCAG